GTCAGCCCCCAATTAAATGTTTTCTTTTATAATTTGCCTTGGTCGTGGTGCTTTGTTACAGCAGAAGAAAATTAACCAAGACAATAACTAAAAGCAACTTGGGAAAGAAGTTCCGTTATCAAGGGAAGCCGGGGCAGGGTCTCCAGGCAGGAACCTGGAGCCTGGAACTGAAGCAGAAACGATGGGGGAGTGATGCTTACTGACCTGCTTCCTCTGGCTTGCTCAGCCACCTTTCTTTGTTTTTGTTTTTTGTTTTTTGTTTTTTCCCCAGAGCTGAGGACCGAACCCAGGGCCTTGCACTTGCTAGGCAAGCGCTCTACCACTGAGCTAAATCCCCAACCCCAGCCACCTTTCTTATACAACCCATGCCCACTTCCCTAGAGAGAGCACTGTCCACAGTGGGCTGGGCCTCCTGCATCAATTAGCAATTAGGAAACCGTGGCCACATACCAATCTCACTTGGGCAATTCTTCCCAAGCTGAGAATCCCTTTTCCCAGGTGACTCTAGATGTGTGTCGAGCTGATGGCTGAAGCCACCTATTAAAATAGCCTAACGTCGATTAGTGTTTTCTTTTTCTGGTTTTTTATTTTGTAGCAGACTTTGAAGTCTTTCCCTTGGCTTGCTTGTTCTTAAAAGAAAACTACACCTATTTTCTTCCGTTCCTTTAATTCCATTTGCATCTGTGTTTGTGCATACATGTGGGTGCAAGCGTGCATGCACTTGGGGGAGCATGCACATGGAAGCTCATGGGTGTAGAAGTCAGACTCAAGTCTTGTTCCCCAGTAGCCACCACCTCTTTGGGGGGCAGGATCTCTCACTGGGACCTGAGCTTCTCCAATTGGGCTAGGATGGCTGGGCAGCAAGTCGCAGGAATCCTCCTGCCTCCACCTCCTCAGTGCTGGGGTTACAAATGTCTGCCGCCACACCCCACTTTTTGCATGGGTTCTAGAGACTGAATTTGAGTCCCCATGCTTGGCACAGCAAGTAACTTAACCGGCCGAGCGAGTTCACTAGTTCCCCAGTCCCCCGTTACTTCTTATTTAAGTTTTTGTATGAAATGAGTTTCTCTGTGAGGTTACCCTACTATGTACTATGGTTCAAGGTAGCAAAGTACATTATATAACACTCCCAGGCTTCCACCCTCCAGTGAGCACTCCCTCCAAGGGTGCCAGCTGCCAAGAGAACTTCCCTCCATACTCTGATCCACAAGCAAAGCCTTCAGGACCAGTAATTTCATGATCATAATAAGATCATGGGATGAGGAAAGGATTAGACTCCTTCTGGGTGTCATCTAATCAGACAGTCTCCCACTCTGTAATTTCGCATGTTCAGATAGTCCCTTGGAGAGTCCCGACTTCTTAGACGAGAAGTACCACATATGACCACCAGAGGGCGCATGGCACCGCACCATTCTCAATCAGTTATCCTAGAGCCCTTGGGGCTTCCTTTAGCTGCAGAGACCTGCAGGTGGCATTTCAGAAGTGCGAAAAGAAGGCTAAGTGTGTCTACCCAAATTTCCTGCCCTCTTTGTGTGGTATAAAGACAAGATGTGAAGTCAGGGGAAGCGGGCAGGTGGCAAGGAAATGAGGAGGTCCAGAAGTCCCGCTGTGAATCCACCTGCCTCATATACTCACTCCATCCCGGTCAGCCCCACGATCTTCTGCCGTGCCATTTGGGGTTTGCTTGTCCCCATGCTTTCCGCTTCTTGAGCTATCGTGCATGCTTGAAGGCCGCTTGGATCCGTTCAGCTGTGTAGCATGAATCTTAAAGAGTCTTATTAATAAAACAAACCGGGAGCCAAGTATTGGGGTGAACACTGGAAAATCAGAGAGACAGAACAGGCCACAGCTAACCTCACCTGGCCAGCTTCTCAGCTGATCCTGTTTCCTCAGACTGAATGCCTCTCAGCTGAACTGCTGCTCAAAAGCCTAAAAGCTTAACCAGCTAGTTCCTGGTTTTCATGCCTTTTATACCTTTGTTTTCTGCCATCACTTCCTGGGATTAAAGGCTCTTGTTACCATGCCTGGCTGTTTCCAGTGTGGCCTTGAACTCACAGAAATCCAGGCTGATTTCTGCCTCTGGAATGCTAGGATTAAAGGTGTGTGTGCCACCATTTTCTGGCCTCTATATCTAGTGGCTGTTCTGTTCTCTGACCCCAGATGAGTTTATTAGAGTGCACAATATTTTGGGGAACACAATACCACTACACAGCTGGGTCACCTGCACTTCCATACCACAAGCGCTCATCACTTGGATTAGCCATTGCTTGTGATCCCTAGTGTCTTTGAAAGCATGAGCTCCATCCACGCCCTGCTGGGCTCCGAGTCTTCCCTGTAGTGTAGAGTCTGGCACAGAGTGAAGACAGACTTCTCCAGCAAAATACCATGTCTTCACCTTCCTAAGAACCTTAAAGGGATTTCTCTTCCATTGTCTTTGTTTCATTTTCACAGAGCTGGGGGTTGAATCCAGCGTCTCAATATGCCACACCGTTGCCATACCTCTTGGCTATGTCCCCAGCCCCCAGGGACCCTCGATGGTCGGCACTTCCTCTGATCCTTTCATCCTTGCGCTGTGCAGCCCCCGGCCTGGTAAAGTAAACCCTCAAGCTTCACATATTAAATGGTGGCCTTTTGGGTATGCTCCAGGCTAAGGCAGAAGGGTAGGATCCTCAAGGCCTGCCTGGGTTCACAAGGAAATCAAAGTTTAGTGACAAGTTTAGGGACACTCTGTCTCAAAACAAAAAAGGAAAAAGAAAGCTTGAGATACAGCTCAGTGGTGGAATATTTGCCTGGCGTGAGCAATGCCCTGGGTTCAAACTCCAGAACTAAAAAATAAAAATAGAAAGTCTTTGTGCAACTTGACATTCAGCGAGTCTGCCTTAAGTTTCCTCACACAGAAAACAAGGAGGGGGCTGCAGGGAGGGCGCTGCAGGGCCTGCTGGGCAGTTGGGAGGCCCTGCCGCTCTTGCAAAGGACCCAGACATCGGATTCTCACACCTAATTGTGACTCCAGCCCTGGGGAAGCTGACCCCCTCTTCTGGCCTCCAGGGCACCTGCACGCATGGGACATACTTGAATAGATATACACACACTACAAAAGGTTTAAAAATAAATCCTAATTTAATTTTTAAAAACTGTGGTAAAGTGATGGATATGTTAACCAGCTTGAGCGTGGTCATCATTTCACAAAGTATATGCTTATCAGGCCATACGTTACCTTGTATATCTTAAATATATGCAATTCTTATTTATCAAAAAGCCAAGGTAGAGGGTGGGGAGAAATAGCTCATAGCAGACTCTCTAGAGCAACCTAATGGTTATCTGTTGAAAACTTTGATTTTACAAACGACGGAACTCTGGTGAAAGGGAGGGCCTTACGTGGAAGTTGCTGACAAGGTAGGCCCAGAATTTTGATCTTCTGTCTCCTAGAGCTTGAACTTGCTTCAAATTGTTGGACACGGTATGTCTGTAGAGTTTGCAGTGCCACAGCTGGATTGGGGACCTCAAAGGATGCAAAACCACTGGATGAATAGAGCGTAAAGCAAGGCCATAGCTCAGCCAGCCTGGGCTAAGCGACACCCACAGGAGCACAGACTCACTGCTCAGAAGGGAATTTTACATCCGCTTTTTAAAAGGTAGGGGTTTTGTTTGTTTGTTTTGAGACAGGCTCCCACTACAGAGCCCTTGCTGACCTTGAACTGGCAGCAATCCTCCTGCCTCTGCTCCCCAGTACTAGGATGACCAGCATGCACCACCATGCCTACCTTAGGACAATTTTGGGGCAACTGAATTTCAGCTGAGTCTAAGAGGGAAGAGCACAAGCTTTGCATGTGGACAGATCTGGGCTGAAGGTCACCTCCCTGGCACGTAAGGCTGAGTCCATGATGTAACTTGGATGAGAAATGAAGGGAATAATCCAATGAAGTGAAGATCTGTTGAGATAAGGAGTGTGAAACACTGACTGAAGTTCTAGCCTGCGTTGGTGCTGAACCATGGCTTCTAGTCTAGCAATGTGGTGATGTTGCCCCAGAAGGCTTGGAAGAGCTGCCTATGTTCACTTCCTTCCCAATTCCAAGTCCCTTGATGTCATACTGGTATTAGGAAATTGCCCGTGATAGGGGTATTTTTTTTTTTTTTTTACCATAAACACTAGCAAATGCTGCACATCAAGACTCTCCTGAGCAGGTGGGGGAACATCTGCCAGTCACTTTGGTAGTCGTCATTGTTTCAGGGTGCCATAGCACCCCCTCCCCTGGAGGGTGACCTCACGCACATCTGTACCACGCTGATGTGACTGGTCATCGTAAGCAGCTACTTCTGCAAAGTGGTTTCTTGGTTTCCCCGGCCCAAGCTTCCATTTTCAGAGACTGTGAGCATCACTGGGAATTCCCTCACAGCATGGATGGGAGTGACTCAGTTCAATCAAAACGGTACACTGGCTGGTTGTGGTGGCATGCACCTGTACTCCTAGTACCTGGGAGACAGAGGGAGGAAGATCACAGGTTCAAGGCCAGCCTCGGCTACACTCTTGGTAACCCCACCATGCTCTCTTAGAGACCGGCAGCCTTTACCTTGCCTCCTGTGAGCAGCAGCTGGGCCAGCAATTCCAGGGTTTCGAGAGTCACCCTTGTGGGATGGTGTGTCTGTCACCTGTCTCCCACCATGCATCTCTGGGTGGACTCAGGGCCCTGTCTCTCTCCTTGAGCCCCACACGACCATGCCTAGAAGGGAGACTGACCCTTTGGGAACTCCTCACTCACTCACACTGGAGCCTGATCACTCCTAGAACCCCGATTCCATCGAATGACGAGATTTTGTGGGCCTCTGCTGGAACCACGAAAAGCTTCGGGAAGATTCTAGCTCCAAGAAAACCTGGGGTAGGCAGCTTCCCTGGAAAGGGGCTGACTGCCATAGGCTGACCAGAAAGAGGAAGTACGGTCAGGCTGGTGCCTGTTGCGTTTAAGGGTGAGCAAGGGCACGTGGGCGAGCAAGGCCTCACCCCAGCTGTGCTGGAGAACAGTCCTCAGTCCACTGCTGACACCCCAGCTGCTTGCAGAAAACACCCCAGCAGTCCGGGTAAGTACTTCGACTTCCCCAAGGACAACATCTTGTTTTGTCCACCCTAGTCATCTGTCTGTGTTGGTGTTAGACATGTGGCCAAATGAGCAGCCTCTCAGGCAAGGGCTGAGGAGGGACTGTCGCCTGAGGCTGTGGTACAACTAGAGGAAGAATGGCCTGGAAGAGTCCGCTCTGCCACTGCTGCCCGGGTGCCCTCAGCCATCGCTTTACTTCTCCGGGGTGTGTGCCAGGGATGACAGTGTTTGCCTCTCAGGCTGATTAGCTGTTGAGAGTGAGATGTGTAAAGCGTGAGGCGTTATCACTGTCTGGGTAACCATGGTGACAATCTGGTATTCAGTTGTTAGAGGACCCTCATGGCACCGTGGCAGATGTGGCGAACTCAGGCCACATCTTGGTGCTCTTGGATGAAAGGATTCCAACACCATGGCTCCTGGTAGGCTTGTCACTCCGTCTCTGGTGTTTGGGATTTCCAAGGCACCTGCCTACCTTCAGAGGCCTCGGGACCCAGGTGTCAGTTAGGCTGGTGTGAGATCTTGACTGAGACATCTGCTTTTGGCCCCTGGAAAGCTAATTTGTTTGTTTGTTTGTGGTTTTTGGTTTTTCAAGACAGGGTTTTTCTGTGTAGCCCTGGCTGTCCTGGATTTCGCTTTGTAGACCAGGCTGGTCTTGAACTCATAGAGATCCTCCTGCCTCTGCCTTCCGAGTGCTGGGATTAAAAGCATGTGCCACCATACCTGGCCTGTAAAATTAATTTTGATGGAAACCTGGGCTCAACTTATCCATGTCTTTTTCCACTACCTAGGGACATGTGTTCTCTATTTCTCTTTAAGCTGACTGAGACTCCTAAAAAAGGATTTGTTTGTTTGTTTGTTTGTTTGTTTGTTTGTTTAGTTAGTTTTTTGAGACAAGCTTTCTCTGTGTAGCATTGGCTGTCCTAGAACTAGCCTCTGTAGCTCTGGCTCTCCTGAAACTCACACTTGCCTCTGCCTCCTGAATGCTGGGATTAAAGGCGTGCACTTTCAACATGCAGCAAAAGGATTTATTTGTAATGGCGTGTGTGTGTGTGTGTGTGTGTGTGTGTGTGTGTGTGTGTGTGTGTGTGTGTATGCATGCCAAAGGCATAAGATCCTATGCAGCTGGTGTTCCAGGTACCTAATGTAGGTACTGGGAACCAAGCTCAGGTCCTCCGGAAGAGTAATACATACTCTTAATCACTGAGCCATGTCTGAAGGAGCATTGGGAGTGGGCCTCGCTGCCAGATGCAGTGACCATAGCCCTGCGCTAGAACACTGGGAAGGAAGAACACTGACCCCAGAAACTCCAGAGCAGCCTGAGAAGACAGTGAGTCCCCCGTTTACAAAAAGAAAACGGAGGTTGGAGAGACGGCTCAGATATTCAGAACACTGAAGTCCAACAGTTCCTGATTCTTTTTTTAAAAAAAAATAGAAACTATTTTATTTTCTGTGTATGGGTATTTTCATGCACATCTGTTTAGGTACTACCTACATACCTGGTGCTCTTGGAGGCCAGATGAGGACATCAGATTCCTGAAACTGGAGTTACAGATGGTTGTGAGGCACCATGTGGTGCTGGGAGTTGAACTTGGAAATCTTCTGAAAGAGCAGTCAGTGCTCTTAACCACTGAGCCATCTCTCTAGCCCCCGGAAAACCATTTTTTAATCCATGTATTATGCAGCTGACCATGTGGGATGATCAGTTTCCCCAGAAGTTTGTTAGGACAGAGTTCTGGCTCTTCCTCCTTCTTCTCCCTCCCTTTTCCTCCCTCCCCCCTTCTCCCTACATCTCCCCTTTTCCTTCCTCTCTTTCTTCCCCTTCCTTTTTTCCTAGCAAATAGATAGAGTTCCTAAGTGTAGGCAGACAAATTTACTAAGCAAGCAATAAGCTATGATGGCTGAGGATGGATGAATAGAGTTGAGTTCCATGAGAAAATAAGTCAGACTCCAGATGAATGTGCAGCCGTCCTGGTTTGATAAGTTATCACTCTGACAGACATGCTTGCAGAAGCACGACAGTGTGGCCAGCTGCCAGTCCAGTACTGACCCCAAACACCATGTTAACACGCGCAGGCATCACAGCTAGCCCATAACAGGTTTAATTAATAAAGAAGATAACCATTCACAATGCATAAGTACCGTCCCTTGTTAGTTCTACGGACCTGCCTTCTGACCTGGCATCATTTTCAGTGGGACACTAACCAAGATGTTATCATTATATAGTGGGTAGAATGTGCAGGATACAGAACAAAGATATGGTGCTAGTGTGTCCCCCTACTTCAGAGTAGCCGAGTATAAACTTCTTCACAGGGTTCTCTATTAAAGCATTTTATAGCCAGGCTTTTAATCCCAGCACTTGAGAGGCAGAGGCAGGTGGACCTCTGTGAGTTTAGGGCCAGCTTCTTCTACATAGTAAGTTCCGGGACATACAGGGCTCTGTAGAGAGCCCCTGTCTCAACTCCCCACAAAAAAAAAAAAAAGAGTAATTTTATAATTCTGTATACAAAACAATGTCAGTACATTCATTACAAGGAACTTGGTCAACCCATTTACTTTAGTAAAATTTTGCAGGTTATTTTAAAGAGGCATGGGCTAGGGATGTAGTTCATGCCTCTTTAAGCCTAGGTTTAATTCTCAGCACTAAATCAACAAACAAACAAACAGAAAAGTTCACAGAAATTCACAAAGGAAACACCATCCACCAAGTGGCACAAAACAAATACATAAATATATAAATATGTTTTACATAAGTATGTATCTTCTTTCGCAACAGGTTTAATGGACATAAGGTATATTTAAACAATAATATATAAATATCAACTTACTGAAAAATCATTGGCCCCACATACAGTGTTAACATGTGTGTGCATCATAGATACACCATAATAAATTTAATTGATGAAGAAGCTAAATCAGTCATGATACATTACAAATCACCAAAAATCTTTTGCTTGCTGTCCACATACTCCCCCGAGACTCCCTGCATCCTGCATCCCCTCCTTTACCTCAGAAAGCCTTTTCTTTATTAGGCTCAATGTCAGGTTCAGTCACCTTAACCTCCGCATCTCATACCCTATGCATATTAGACTCAAAATAATTCTTTTCTGCTCTTTAAAAAAAAAATCAAGCCAGTTATGGTGGCACTAGAGAGGTGGAGGCAGATGGATCTCTGTAAGTTCGAGGCCAGCCTGATCTATATAGAGACTTCCAGAACAGCCAGTGCTACATAGAGAGACCCTATCTCAAACAAACAAACAAAACTCAAGTATTGTAACAGCTAAGCAGCTATGACTGCTCCTTCCAGACCGACAGCCTTTCCTCTAGTTGGAAGAACCCACACTTCTAAGAGTGAGATGTTGGGGACACTTCCAGGAGTTGTAGTGTCTAGACTTTCTAGAGGAATATTACTTGGAGTCCTCAGCAAACTCCAGGAGCCTGATATTTTAGTTCGAGAACATCACCTTTCAGTAGCTTTGAATAATTGAAGACATTATTGGTGAACGACTCTTCACATAGAAATGGAAGTTATACATTGTATTCCATCTGACAGGAGAACTGGAGATTGGCTCCAAAACATGGTGTTCTCAAGACCCATCTGCTGTACCCTGAGGCCCTCTCAGAATCAGGCAGTGGGGTGGAGGGAAGGATTGGAGGGCAAGAGATGCCTGTGCCAGGATCTCCTGCATCTGTCTCTATGCCCCTCCGTCAAGGCATCAGAATAAAAGGCTTTCCCAGTTTGGGTATGGCAAGTTGACATTTTCTCCATTTTCTTTCAGTTTTACTCTAAACTGTAAATTATGCATCTACAGGAAGTGCTTCCATTTTTATTGATTTTTGCATAATATCTAAATAAAAAGCACAATGCTTGGTATGCAAATGCAGACTCAAGAGAGCCAGCAGGCTCTTGTCCCTAGAGAGTTTCTGTATATGAGCCATGGGGCTGTCACCACCTGGAGGCCGACTGCTCAGTCAGGTCAGGACTCTTGAGCATCATTGCTTTAAGCTGACAGAGTAAGCCCCAAGCCAGAAGGCCAGGGAGAATGTAAGGACTCTGGAACTGCTGGTCCCTTGCCGAGCAAAGGCTCAATAGAACACAGGAAGTGTGAGGGAGTGCCGAGGCTGTCATGGCAGACAGGGGCCCACGGGAATGGATCTTGGCCATGCTCACTGACCACGTTCATATTTCACTCTGCTTAACTGGGAAGGAACTACAGAAAGACAGCAAGGGTCATATTTATATGTGGTGGCCAACAGCGGCCCACACAGGTGAGAGGGGGCAGCAAAATGGCCGTTTGCACAGACAACTGGAACCTGGGCTGATGCACTGGAGTAGAGGGACAAGATGATGGATGTGGAGGCCGGGGGAGGAGAGATATGGATGCTGAGGGGAGCAGAAAGATGGGGGGCTGAGCCTGCCTTTCTTCCACAGAAATGGAAGGCTATGGAATGAGTAGAGACACTGGACTCTTTTTGTAGCCCTGCCCTGTCCACACTCAATTCTAAGTTGCCATTAAGTATCCACATAGCCATTTCCAGGACATATGTCAGCAAGGCGGTCAGATGGGAATACAGACTCCCTGACCATCATCAGTGACAGCCTGACAACTAGGCAGGAACCAAGCCAGAACTGTTCATGCTGAGAGGCTTGGATAGTACTTAGCTTCCTGTGCCTTTGAAATCAGCCCCGACCCTCATCCCCATGCCCTGCTTCAGAGCCTTCCACAGCCCTTGCTAGCAAGTCTGGGGAGCCACGTAGGAGGAACCTCTTTCTTCCTAGTCAGCGTGGGCTTACAACTTCTGTGGGTGACAGTGCACTACACAGGCTACTCATGTATGAACTGAGGCGCCTTCCTGGTTCCCATACCACCAAAACACATCTGTTCTGGAAAGCATTGGAAGATGAGGAGACCTTATCAAGGATTGGGTAGGAGACCACCAGAGGGGTGTACCTCCAGAGGGGTGCAGTGCATCCATGAACAGCTA